AATGGTAGGATTCAGTAAGTATTAGAATATGAATAATTAAAACTTCCTGGCAGAGGAATGAACTGTGAGTTCTCTGACACAGGAAGTGTTCAGGCAAAGGCTGATGTCCTGTTACAGGTACTGTCAAGAGAGGTTTCCGGCATTGAGCAGAAAGTTAACTAGATATCCTTGAAGAGCTGTTGTAACTCAGAAAGTCTATGTTACCCACATAACTCTGCCTAATGTAGAACTCAGGAAAAGAAAAGCAAAAAGTTCAATAATTAGGACTCTCCCAAGAGATCAAAATAAAATATGTAAATGATAACATAAAAATAAATACACCTCTAGGAAAACATCTATTATTAGGTTTTAGATCCAATACAGGAAAATAGAGATATGATTTTCAGGGGCCTATGAATAATGCAGAATTAATTTAAAATGATAATTTTCAATCATCTTTAAGAAGATATGCGTTATGTTTGCTCTTTTCAGGAAAAGATATTCAGGTACTGGACACTCTGTTTTGCTGTGTTCATTTACTGTTTCCAATGTTCTATTTGACACTCTCACGGCTACCTGCTAGAGAAAATGTGTACGGTCGTCCCTCATCCATGATTTCACTTCAGTGGTTTCAGATCCCTGTGGCCAACTGCGGTCCAAAAAGATTTTAAATGGAATATTCCAGAAATAAACAATTCATAAGTTTTACATTGCAAGCCATTCTGAGTAGCTCAGTGAAATCCATGCCATCTGGCTCAGTCCTGTCTGGGACGGAAATCATTCCTTTGTCCAGTGTATCCACCCTGTGCCCACCTCTGGCCCATTAGTCACTTAGTAACCATCTCAGTTATCAGATCCACTGTCACAGTGTTTGTGTTCGAGTCACCCTTTGGTTACTTAAAAATGGCCCTTAAATGCAAGAGTATTGATGCTGGCAATTCAGATATGCCACAGAGAAGATGTAAAGTGCTTCCTTTAAGTGAAAAGGTGAAAGTTCTCCACTTAATAAGGAAAGAAAACACATTGAGGTTGCTAAGATCAATGGTAAGAACACGTCTTCTATCCAGGAAATTGTGAAAGAAAAAGAAAACTGCTCGTTTGCTGAGAGACCATATTCCCATAACCTTTATTACAGTGTATTGTGATAATTATTCTATTTTAGTGTTAGTTATTGTTGTTCATCTCTTACTGTTCCCAATTTATAAATTAAACTTTATCAGAGAAAGGTATGTATAGGAAAAAATGTAGTATATATAGGGTTCGGTACTATCCGCAGTTCCGGGATACTGGGGGTTTGGGTATGTGTCCCCAGGGATAAGCGGGGACTTCTCTCTATATAATTATAGACTTTGATTTTTTCTAAACTGAAAGAATTGTAGTTTCACAGACCTGAGCTCGAAATGAATCTTTGTAGCTCTTCTCTTAAGTATGCATTAGGATTATATTTAATCAACCCAATGAAAGCATTTGTTCACAAAAAAAGGCTAATCAACTTGACACTTATATGTGAAATTCAAGGTTTAAATTTACTTTCTTACTCCAAAGAGAATACAGAGAAAAGGGGCACATGCAGATCACATGCAAACATTCTTACAAGTAGGAATTCAGAAGAACTATTGAGAAAGTTACCTGCACTGCTTTGGGGCCAGCTGGCTCCCACAGATAAAATATCCAGGGCAGAAGGCTACCTAATAATTAAAACCCACCACAACTTTCATCACAAGGGTGTGAATGTTTGCAGTTCCCTAAAGATGAGGGTAAGAGGTTCCTCCCTCAATTTTTAAGCCTTTAGAAAGAATATGTAAATAACTTTTAAATCAGTTCATCCTTTTTTCTCACCACTTTTTTTATTGGCTTGATCAAAAAACTGTGCAGCCCTGGCCAGTTTGGCTCAGTGCTTAGAGCATCAGCCTGTGGACCAGAGAGTCCTAGGTTTGGTTCCCCCTAAGGACATGTACCTCGGTTGTAGTATGTCCCCGGCCCCGGTTGGGGTCGTGTGGGTGGCAACCACTAGATGTGTCTCTCTCACATCGATGTTTCTCTCTCTCTCTTCCTTCCTCTCTTCCTCCCACTCTGTCTGAGGATAAGTGCAAAAATGTCCTCGGGTGAGAATAAAAAAATAAAAATAAAAATAAAATAAAATAAAATAAAATAAAATAAAATAAAATAAAAGACTGTGCAGTCCTGAGGTATACAGCACTTTGCATAAGCCCTGTAGCTCCCACTGAAGAAGGCAATTCAAACCTAAGAAAATAAAGAAGGTGACTCCACCTCAAGAAAATAGAAAAGGTGACTCAGCCTCAAAGGCACGCCAATCGTACAGTTGTTCCGCCCTTACATGCTTAGGTATGCATTTCCCAAAGTATGGCATTTTCTTGCACTTTCATAATGCCATAATCATGCTTAAGAAAATTATTGATAATTCCCTGGTGTTATCTAAAAACCAGTGCATATTGGAAACTCCCCCAATTGTTTCAAAATCTATTTTTTACAATTGGCTTGTTCAGCCTGGCCGGTGTGGCCCAGTGGTTGAGCGTCAACCCATGAAGCAAGAGGTCACCAGTTAGATTCCCCATCAGGGCACACGCCCAGGTTGTGGGCCCAATCCCCAGTGTGGGGCATGCAGGAGGCGGACAATCAATGTTCTCTCTCATTGATGTTTCTGTCTGTCTCTCCCTCTCCTTCCCTCTCTCTCTAACAGCAATAAAGAAAAAAAAATTTTTTTTTTTTATCCTCACCCAAGGACATTTTTCCATTTTTTGTTCAGATAGAGTGGGGAGGGAGAGAGAGAGAAAGAAACATCGATGTGAAAGGGACACATCGAGTGGTTGCCACCCGCACGACCCAACCTGGGCCGGGGACAAACTGCAACCGAGGTACATGCCCTTAGCGGGAACCGAACCCGGGTTTCTCTGGACCGCAGGCCGACGCTCTAACTGCTGAGCCAAACCGGCCAGGGCAAGAAAAAAAAAATTAAAAACAAACAAACAACTGGCTTGTTGAAATTAGGATTCTAACAGCTTCATATGTTTCATATAGTTGTTATGTCTCTTCTGTCTCTCTGAACCTAAAATGATTATCACCACTTTCTCTTTTAGTTTTCTTCATGCACTGATTTGTTGAGGAAACCAGGTCAGCTGTCCTGTAGAATGTCCCACATTCAAAATCTGTCTTCTTGCTTCTTTGAAGTGTTACCAGAAACTCATTTAAATATGGATTCTCTTGCTATCTTCGCAAGTTTCTTTATTGTTTCCCATTGATTTTTAGATAGAGAGGGAGGGAAGGAGGGAGAGCGAGCGAGCGAAACATCAATGTGAGAGAGAAACACCCACTGGTTGTCTCCCACATGACGCCAACCAGGGCTGGGGATCAAACCTGCAATGCAGCCACGTGTCCTTGACCAGAAATCGAATCTACAACCCTTTGGTCCACAGGTCCACCCTCTAATCACTGAGCCAAACCAGCCAGGGAGAAAGTTTCTTTATGTCCCTGATTTTCAGGAACTTTGAAAACTTTTGTAGACAGTGGTGGAAGCCACAGTCAGAATTCTCTGGAGCAGGGTTTCCAAAACATATCTGATACCTGGACTCCTGCATCAGTCTCCCAGTTTGTCTCATTTATTCTTTCCTTATCCTTCCTTCTCCCCACCCCACCCCACCCCCATTCCTCTCTTCCCAAGACACCTGGCATGATCTTTTAAAATGGAAAAGAGACTCTCGCTTCCTTAAAACTTCTCCAATGATTACGCTTGGAATAAAAGCCAAAGGTCTTACCATGACCTACCTGACTCCAACTGATCTGCTCTCTGCCCACCTCTCCAATTTGATCAAACACTGCAACCTGACTCCCCCCCCCCTGCCCCATTGCTAACACACCTTCTTTTGGCTCCTCAAACATCTAGAACTCTTTTCAGCTTTGAGCCTTTGCCATCGCTTATTGATTCTACCTAGAATGCCTTTCCTCAGACAACTGCAAGGCATCATTCAGGTCTCAGCTCAGAGGGGCGTACCTGCGCTACCCGAACCAAACAAGCCCCCCGCCACTCACCCCTTGTTGAGCCTTTCACCCTACTTATTCCCATTATAGTACTTGTCACTCTGTAACTATCCAATTACTGATTTGTGTACTAGATTAATTCCCATGAATTTGTTTTCCTAAGATTTCTCACTACCTGGTATTTCCTATCTATTAATTTGCTTGTTTGTTGCCTGTCGCTTTTCATTGAATGTAAGCAGCATGAGATCAGGGAACTTCCCTGTCTTGTATCTCCAGTGCCTAGAATTGTGCCTGGCACACAGTGATTGTTCAGTAAATGAATACAGAAAAAAATAGCCAGATTGCTCATATACAAAATAGGTTCCTAGGCTACAGTCTCTAGGTGATTTTTACATTAGGTTAAAAGTTGCTATTGACTATAAGCTATACAAAGATCTAAGAAAACCTCACATTTTATATTTTTTAAAAATCACAATTAAATAAGATTCCTCATATTCTCTAACCATATATTTGAGGGAAAAAACAATAGTCTCTGTCTTTGTAATCATAATCACCTATTTCTTATGTCTGGCAAACAATCCAACAACAAAATTACTTATTTTCCCATTGCTCCAAAGCCAATATGTTTTTATTATTTTATAAAAAGAGAAATCTATATGCATTATTGTACACTCACTTAATTGATTTTTCACATGCAGGCACCACTACAGCACAGTTGAATGTTTGCAGTGCAATCATTATGCAATTTATACATCAAGATAGAGGACATAATTTATTCAGTATTATCCTTGGTAATTATTATTGAGCACTTTAATTTTCAATATGTAAAGGCAAGTGTGTTCTCTGAGTCCAACAAAGGAAAAATACTCACTAATAGAGTAAATTAACATAATGGACTCAATGAATTAAGCTAATGACTTGTTTCTAAGTCTGCAACACAAAAACCAATGACATACAACAGATTAGAAAATTGCCACCTTCATCCCCATTGAGTGACAAAATCACAAGCGCAATTCTGTACTTACTTCCATCAGTAATTTGAATCCTTCTCTTTTCTTGATTTCTTCTACAAGGTACCTAAAAAAAGCCACAATAATATTTATCATCTGAAATCTAAAAAATTCCATGAACATGACTGACATATGACAAAACTGTTCTCTCTAAAGCAGAGACAAGGCTTAGGAATAAGTAAGGGTACAGGTATGGGCATAGGTATGGATTTTGACAGTATTCCTGAACCTGTTGCTGCAATCCCCTGGGGCCTGAGTAAAAATACACATTTCTTATGAGATGATATCTATCTTACGTTAGCATCAGACTTTCACCCCATTGTGAAATCCACACAAAATGGACTGGATAGATATCTCTGAACATGTGTGTTTCACATTCACATTCTGGATGGGTATTTAGCATACATACTTAACTTAGCGGGCTGGCTTGGGGAGAAAGGTTTTTTGGTGAGTAGTCCTGCTTACAACTCCATCTGAGATCAAGGAAGCTCAGTGTCATCTTGTCCAAGGCCAGAACAGAGGGACAAAGGAGTGATTATTGGTATCACATTCAAGTATGTAGGCTGTAGCCACTGGTAAAATGTTTCTAAAGTCATTCTGAATGTCAGGGAAAAGAGAATTATCACCACATAAGCAAAGGGCAGAGATACATGAGATATGGTATATGATGGAGAAAGGACTGAAATGACATTGAGAATATAAAATAAATTAACACTGACACCTCTCCTTGGGATTGATTATTGTCTATATAAAAAGGGGAGCCTTCTGAAATGTTCGGCCTTGAAAACTAGCGATTTGTACATGAGCCTTGAAAAGTTCATAACACTTGACTCAATATTTCAAATTTGGGGTCTAATGTAAGAAAATGATTAGGGTGCTGACAAAAATGTACTTGCTAGGGTATTTATTGTGATTTTTATGTGTAACAGCAAATAGAGAAAAAGAAAATAGGAAGGAAGGGAGGGAGGGAGGGAGGGAGGGAGGGAGGAAGGAAGGAAGGAAGGAAGGAAGGAAGGAAGGAAGGAAGGAAGGAAGGAAGGAAGGAAGGGAGGAAGGGAGGAAGGAAGGAAGGGAAGGAGGGAGGAAGATCACACCCAGAAATAAGGACTGGCTTTGAAAACTATGGTCCAGTCATATTGAATTACAGTACAACCATGTGAAATATGATCCTGTCACTAAATTACATACATTCAAGGACAAGAAAAAAATGCTCTTCTTGGACCTCAATTCCCTTACCTGTAGAACTGAAATAACACAATCTGCTTTTCCATCTCAAAATGTTGTTGCAAAAAAAAGTTTTTTAATCAGACATTAAAAAGTTGTAAAGTATAGAAACTGTGAAAATGGGGGTGGTTATTATGATTATGTTCACTTGCTAAAGGCTATTCTAGAATGTGAATATGAAATACACTAGTTAACAGATATCAGTTCTTTTTTTCCCAAACTTGTTTATATAGCTTTTCATATAAGGTTAAATATTTGGTATTTAGCATATAGGTTATATCATCTCTAAATTATATAAAATCTTATAAAGTCCCGTCATTTTTAATTAGATAATAAAACTCTTTCTTTTGAGCAATAATGTTGTGACCAGACACACACACACACACACACATATGCTCACAAAGTATTTGATGTTCTACATACTCCTTTCCATGCATATTTTTCAGGAGATATAAAGTTTTGAACCTTTAGCACACTGCCTAACTCTCACAAAAAGCAACACTAGCGGCTAATAAACATCAGAAAATTATGCTCAAAATCACTGGTAATCAAAGAAGAGCAAATTAAAACAATACTGAATAATGTTGTCCCTGTGATGCTGAAAATAAATTTTAAAAGAGACCTAAGGAAGTGAAAATGTGACAGAAAACTGCTACAAACTTTTTAAAATGAATAATAATCATATCTTTTGATGCAGCAAACCACTTCAGAGATGCTGATCTACCAGGAAAAAAAAAAAGACTGCTACTAAAGCTACACACACACACACACACACACACACACACACACACACATATGTATTACACAGATTATTGTATCTAAATCTGTGTGTGTGTTTATTCCATACAAAACAACTAGGAACAAGATTAATGTCCAGAAACTGGCAAATAGTAAAATAAAATGTATTATAGCAACACAATGGAATATGATGAAGCTATTAATAAAAACAGAATGTCTACTTTGATTAAACCACAGGGATTCTTATGATGGGTTAGTAAGAGCTAAAAGCAAAGTAGTAAGAAATGTGGATAACATTATTCTACTTTTGAAGCAATTGTACCAAAGGAAAGTAAAGCAATCCCGACCACAATTATATATGATCATGGCGTAAAGTATGAAAGGATACATAATAAATTATTAGTGTTTACCTAAGACAGGGGAAAATGGGAAGCAACGGGGAGGTAGAAACTACTAACTCTTTTTTATTTTTTATTTATTTTTATTTTTTATTTTTTTTTTTTTCGATATTTTGTTCATATAGAGTGGGAGGAAGAGAGAGAGAGAGAAACATCGACGTGAAAGCGACACATCGAGTGGTTGCCACCCACACGACCCAACCAGGGCCGGGGACAAACTGCAACCGAGGTACGTGCCCTTAGCGGGGACTGAACCCGGGTCTCTCCGGACCGCAGGTCGACGCTCTAACCGCTGAGCCAAACCGGCCAGGGCTACTAACTCTTTTTTAAAAATTTCTTCACAAAGTTCCATAGATGTGGTCACTAGTGTGAGTTTTGAAAGGGCACTGAACAAGAGACGAAATGTGAGCACACCTTGGTGACGAAGCACATTCCTTACCTCCCTGAGCCTGCCTCAGCTTCCTCATGCACACAATGGAGATGCGAACTTGACCGGTAAAATCCTTCCCTAATGGACCATGACTACGTGAAACTTACCCACACCACCTGTAGTCTCAATGTAAAATATTTCTTCCAAATGGGCTAAAGCTGCTCCGGGGAGAGGCCCCCTAAAACAGGGCTGAGCCCTTTCATTTAAGGCTCTGCTGTTTTACTAACATGGGGACCTGGGCTTGGTGTCAGGGTCAATGTCCTCATGGCAGCCCCTCTCAGAGCCTGGAACGCCCAGGGTAACACTCCAGCTCAGGTGAGGGTCCAGGTGGTGTGGGTGAAGAGTTGCTATAATAATAATAATAAAAGGCTTACCCCAGAGTTTCCAAATCGCGCCCATGACATACCCTGCCAACCGTGTTCTCCTATCTGAGGGTTCCTTCCACTGCCAAATAAATGTGTGCAGTGCTGGGCATATCAGTTGGATTCTGTTGACTACAGTTAGAAATATACTTGTCTTAATGTATAAGGATGGTTTTTGAGCAGGTTCGATGGTTCAATACTGACGTCAGAAACCAGGCATTTTCCATCACTTCTCCCTGTCACCTGCTCAGCGCTAGCGAATTCTCCCAGGTTCGATCAGAGATCTGCCACAACTCCTACATCACATCCTTATACAACAGTGTCTCAGAGAAAGAGAAGGGCTGAAGCAAAAGTGTTTTCGCTTTTCTCTATTGCCCCCAGATGCCTTCACAGAACTCTTCCTACACCTTCTTGACTGGAGCTGAGTCATACACCCATCCCCAAACTAGTTGTTGGCAATGAGGATCGGCTCCAACCAATGTTCCCAGCTGGAATGTTGCTACCTAAACACAATCAGGATTCTGTTGGCAAGGAAAAGGGGAGAAGGGTTGTTGGGTGAACAATGAACAGTGTCTGCATTCTAGTTAAAGCAAAGTTAAAAAATGTTTCTATATTACAAGCTCCCTCAGAGCCTTTAATGTGTTAATGAACATGGAATCTCCGAGGGAGGAATAATGTAATAGTTAGCATTTCCCAAGCATATCTGACCATGAAAATGTTTTTTTGGAAGAGCATTTATTATGATGTTCTGAAAGTCTATTATCCCACGGAGGGTAGTTTCAGAATGTTAGTTTAGAAGTGCCTCTTATACAGAGTACCTTATCCTTTTTAAATAAAATGAGTTTTGGGAGGGAATCAGAATAAGGTTTTGAGTCACTTCTGCCTACATTCATGGGAATAATTTATTCCTCACAACTTTTTTTTTCAATATATGAAAACAGCCTAGAGATTAAATACATTTAAAAAGAACTATTCTTATCTGATGCCAGCCAGAAAAAAAAAAAAAAGATGTGCAATGAGTTTTGGGACATAATGCAGGAACCATAAACCACTTCTTCCAAAAAGCATCCAGGTAAATAGGTTCAAGAAGCAGCGATAGCTTCATAAACCCAGCACTGTCCTTCTCACTAAGCTTAGCAAAAAAAGAGAAGAGAGAAAAAAATACATCGGCAAGAGTTCTCACCAAACCTACTGGGTAAAAAAAACCCAAAAACCTCATTATATTACGATGCTACAGCATGTATTAATGACAATCTTGCTCTAAAACACTTCCCCTTTCTTTGCTTAAAAGTGTCTTTCTAATATTAGATACCCTCAGTTCTCTGATTTCTTAAATGAGTTTAGTATTTTTGGCATTTCATTTGTCCTTTCTGGAAATGGTCTTTCCAGTCCCCTTCTCAACTCACCAGCCACTGAGTCTCCCTGGAGGTCTCCCAACCGAGTTTACCTCTCTCCCAGTCTCATCTCCTCCTCTGACATTGTTTCTAATACCTAGAGCCTTGCAGAACTCCTGGGAGATTTTTCGTTTGCTTCCTGTATGCTCTGCATACATTAAGACATAATGCATGGCTTGTGATTCATCACAAACACCGACCTACTACATTCTATTGCAATTGTGATTTTTTTTTTAAATTACCAATATAAAAAACTGAAAATGTTGGTCTTTCATAGTCTTCTGGACTCTCCTCTTGTCACCTAGAGAGATACACTAGCACCAACGTGCCATTGTGTCATTGCTCACCGTTTCCATACTGACAACAATAAATCCCTCAGTATTCATGCACGTCAGTGAAATAAATTCCACTGGAGAAATTACAGAGATGTGTGTCAAGGGGATAGATAAATGATACATTGGAGACCTAATGAGCAGTAGTGTGGGACTTCGTGAGCTGTTTGTTGTTGTTGAAAAGATCTACGTACAGGAGTTTTCTAGATTTGTTTTCAAAATTGCCCCAGTGAATATCCATTTAACCTGAGTGCCATAACAAAGGCCTAGAAGGTGCCCTCAGCAACAGGTTGCCCTGGGTATTGGGAAACAGTTTCGACTTTCTTAGGCAGAAATCAGAGATACGCGATCTCCTGCTTTGTGCTGGAGATGGTAATGTTGAACCTCAACCCTCTGGGCTTCAATCATGTGTTACTCTAGGTTCCCAATGTCACTGACTTTCAAAGAACTCAAAGAGAAAGCAAGTTTTTAGTCATTAATATTTCTTCTGAGAAATGTGCTGCCATCAACCGGAATGACAGGGGTCAAAAGGAAACTAGAAAAGCCTTCAAGATCTTCCAGGCAATACACTTTTTCCTTCTTGCTGGATTTCTGACAACTCATAACACAGGAATCACTGTCCTCTTGAAAATGCCTGTTCTTGCTTTTCCAAGGAAAGAGGAAGCAAGCTACATGACCAGGGGGGTGGCAGTCTGTCGGTGCATCAACATCTGCTCCTTAAATCTTAAAGTCAATATGGAAATTTCAAAACTAAGCTCTATTTTGATTCAGGAACATGAAAACATTATTTCTATGGGATCAGTGCGATCTTCCTGCAAAGTGCCAGGGGGGAAAGTTGCACAGTTTTTCCAGCATTTAAGAGACCTGACCTAGGGCCTAGGGAAATGGTTGTCTTAGCTGCATTAGGCTGCTGCTATTAGAAGTGCACATCAAATAGTGGGTGTGTTGGAAATGGCATTTCAAATCTCACCAGTCAGTGGTTTGAACTGATTATGCTGGCTCACATAATCAGTGGTGCTGTAGAGCTAGGTTTTGTTGGCCATTGAGAGCTAACTGTTAAGTATTCCAGAATTTTGCAAACCACAACTGTTGAGAGCTTGCAATGTTCCATGATGGGAATTTACACCACAGAAATTGGCAGATGTTGCAAATTGGGGCTTTTTTCCCCTCCTGAGAGCCAGTTAAGGTAGACTACTGTACACATGGGCTCAAGCAAACAGAAGAGCTCCCAGAATTGAGAAAACATTCCATTGTTCTCAAAGAACAGAACCACAGACCAATCAACCAATTTAAAAGGAAATAAAGTCATGAAAATAAAAACCTTATGTTGCTTTCTTTATAATTCTTAAGCTTAGGAACTTTCTCCAAGTTTATAATTTTATATTCATTCAAAGTGATATGTGTAAAATAACTCAGCTTTTGCTTGGTATTGGGGGTGGAAAACAGGATAGCTTTTGTTCACCCCAGGAATAGAGTGTTGCATATCAAGAATGTGAAAAATTAAGGGGAGGAAAAACTATTATGAGTAACAGCATGAAAGAGGAGGGATTATTTTTCGAATATTTAAATATAGGTCACAGTGTCTGCAGGAATGCTCACTGAAATATTAATTCCATTCAATTCAACTTGACAAACATTTACAAACAATAAGTGTTGTTGAATTGAATTGAAATGTTAACATTTATCCTCCTGTGATATTTTGCTGCAAAAATTAGAAAATCTCCTTTGACCATAAATTAAATTCTACCCTGAGATGAATGTTAACTTTATAATAAATACAATTATCAAATATTTATATCTAGCCTGTTTCAAGACACCTGCTATTGAATTACTCAGCAGCTTAGAGTCTACCATACCTAAACAGTATAAGAAAACGCACACAGAAAAGTGAACAGAGATTTCTGAACTTTCATTTTAAATTAATGAGCAACTATGCATATTTATGGTAGACAGTTTCACTTTTTTTCACCTCTGGGTATTTATCTCCCTACTTCTGATTGAAGCACTTAGCCCAATTTCTACCAAAAGCACACTGCTCATCTAGATTTCAGTACATATTCCATAGGAGGAATTGACAGTCTCCCTAGGGACAAAAGAGGGCATGTCATGTGGTTCAGCATGACCAATGAGAGTATCATCTTTCCCTGGCAACAATGACTTATTCGGAGGTGGATGCTTGCTTCACATAGAAATAATTAAAATTTGCCTTGGGATTGTGGAGAGAGAAGTCTCTCCTTTTTACCTTGAACATTAGCTTGGGAGGATATAGATCTGACACTCCTATCACTACCTTCCTGCATAGGAATAAACTCAACATGAAGGAGAGCACAGGACTGCTAGATGAAGATACATTGAGGTCTAGTAATACTGTTTAAGCCCCTTGACCAAGCCATTCCAGAAGTCATCACTATACTAGTGTATAAGTAGCATGAGATAATAAATTATCTTTCTTTGTTTATAATACCTTGAGTTAAGATTTCTGTTGCTTACCACCAAAAGAGTTCTAACTGATAAAATATCTTCAGATTTTTCAAATTATTTCTTACACTATAATCACTAGAATTGTTGACTTCTAACAGACCTCTGAAAGTGCCAAAGCCATCTCTTTACCTGTTCTTATAGCCAACCCCTTTGCCACGTAATTTTGCAGATCTTCCTGCAAAATAGCAGAGTGTACTTCCTGCCTTGTGACGTTGAGCTTGGCCATGTGATTTGATTTAGCCATTGGAATGCTAGTAGATACGATGCAATCAGGAGGTTAAAGTGGGCTTCTGCCAGGCCCATTACAAGAACATGCTCCAGCTAGCCTGCTGATCAAGGAAGATGAAGGACTTGTGGAGAGTAGACCTAGTTGGTCCCCCTCTCCCCCACAGCCACCACAGTGAAAGATAAAGCCACCCCTGCCAACTTGCAGACCTCAAGGAATAAATCATTGTCGTTGAAATTTACTGGGCTCTCAGAGATTCTGCAGTGATGCTCAGAGCACCCATACCGCTCCCAGTATAGAAAGAAGAAATTGTGTTAAGTCTCCAAGGAGACACTTCAGGTTTTGCAAGTGAAATGTAAACAGGGAGTAAAGAAGGAGAGATTATCCAAACCAGATATCACAAACTTGCCTGTAGTAGCCAAGTGGGTAAAAAACAAACAGACAAACAAAATTCCTAAAACTCATATAGCATGCAGCATATACCAGGCACTGTTCTGAGTGTTTACATGTATCAATTCATTGAATCCTCATGACAATTATTTTGAGTTAGATGCTGTTGGTATCTCCACGTTACTAGGGTGAAATTGAGGTACAGAAAGGTTAAGAAACTTTCCCAAGTCACAAGTAGTTTATAAATGGCAGAGCTAGCATCTCCATGCCACAGTAACAGAGGCCAGATAAAAAAACAGCAGGAAGTAAAGGGGACTGTGGTTCTGCGGAGAGTCAGGCGTCATGGTCAGCAGCCTGTCACCACGTGGGACTGAGAGCATTCGGGACAGAAGCCAAAACTCTACATTTCCAAACAAATCTTCCTATTTTTAAATATTTTAAATGTTCAAACGTCTGATTTTTTTTAACACCATGAAGGTTAACCCTACGGAGTTCAGGCCAAACGAATCACATTTCAAACTAAATTTGGTCATGGCCTTCCCATTGGCACCCCTGATTCGAGCTTAGCAGCAGAGTCCGGTTCAGGTGGCACATGTCCAGCATGTATATATCAAGAACTCTTCTAATGTCATTGCAAGTGGTTTCAAAAGCTCTGTATCTAAGTCTACGAGGCAAGTAACCATGGGGCTTCTACATTACCTTTACCTTTGTGCCTTTACACCAGCCCCACTATCTCAAGACTTGTTGTTTGGGTCCTGGAAGGCACCATGAGCTCTCTCACATCTGGACATTTGGGCCTGTTGTTCCTTCTGCTTGGATCATTCTTTTGTCTTTTCTTGGCTGGGTCTAAGTTGAATGTCACTTCCAACAGGAAACCTCTGCCAAGGACCCTCATGAATATACTAGGGAACCCTGCTGAGTGGTCTGAAGCACCATGTACCTTCCCTTAACAGAAAGTGGGTTCACCTGTATTTTGTGTACTTTGGCACCTAAATATATTTCTTACTATGCTAGGATCCTGGAGGGCAGGAGTAGGGCTGCTTTGTTCACAAACATATAGTAGATACTGGGAAAATGGTTATCAGATAAGAAGGAATGCACAAATGAAATAACATCTACAGACTTTGCAAATGATACTGTCATTTAGTCTATTACAGACGTACATGGACACACACGCGCACACACACCTACCTAGATAAAGCAAGAGCACGATTAACTCTTTCTTCAAGGCCTGATGTGCCCAGGGCCTTCCAACTCATCCAGAACTTGAACGCATCTGGTCTCCTGCTACACTGGATAGACTTGTCTCCTGTGTCGTAGCTGACATCATAGAATTTATCCTGCTGGAAGAGGTAAGATGCTTTGGCAGAGAAGCATTTCCTAAGAAGATCCTTTTGGGGCGGGGGAGAAGAAAGATAGAAATATTGTCCATTTTTAAAAATACACTTGATTTCTAAAACAAACATAACCTATATGATATTCTACTTTGTGCCAAAGGTGTTTGGTCTCGCTCTACGACTGCCCTATGCCCTACATCAGAAGTGATAGTTATGTATTAACTTGGACACATAGATTACCCATTGTGTTTCAAAAAAACTCAGAGTTGAAAATGCTAAATCCATCCTCAACAATTTTACTGATGAATACTGAGAAGCTTTGATAACCATGTCATCATCTGTATGATATCAAGTTGGGCCGATTTCTCAAGGTGAAAAAAATCTGTTTATTACTCACTCAAAACAAAAACAAAACCCTACTATATTGTACATGGTTTATACAATTTCATAGGTAAAACCTTAGGCTTTTAAAACCTCTTTTTTTCCAACACATATTCATATTGAAAAGGCCAAAAGTGACAATAACCCAGGGATAAAAAACCTGAGGAGAGAACTATGGAGGAATTAAACAAGTGCCAACAAGTTTTAACAACCACAATATATCAGCTACAGTTCCAAAGGTTTTTTGGGGGTTGGTTTTGCATTGGTTTTATTTGCAACCCAACTCAATCTGCAGTTACCGACTGGTTACTTTTTCGCCAAGCAGTGGATGACAATTCACCATGTTGATCACCATTTTAGAGTCTTCACTTTGACCTCAAATTATTAGGGTTTAAGCCCTGTTGTCCCCAATGTCATTTAGTATCTACAAAATCCTAGATTTTCTAACCCAGTGCTTCTCAACCTCCCTAATGCCCCAACCCTTTAATACAGTTCCTCATGTTGTGGTGACCCCCAACCATAAAATTATTTTTGTTGCTACTTCATAACTGTAATTTTGTTATATCTTAGGCGACCCCTGTGAAAGGGTTGTTTGACCCCCAAAGGGGTTGCAACCCACAGGTTGAAAACCACTGTTCTAACCCATCCTTCACAGCCCCCATAATTCCCTGAGCATCTTCATTCCCAGAGAATACCTACTGGAACCCCCAGTATAACCAAACTACTCAATGTCCCTTAACCACTAGATCATGCCCCATCTGCATCTTTGCTCACACCATTTGCTTGACCTTATCTCTATTTTAATCTAACATATGGCATTCAAAATCATATATGCAGTATATCTATAAGTTCTGAAGTTGACTCACACCAAACATAGTCTTCCCTCTTTAACTAGGGCTGACCTTCCTTTGGGTCCCATGTCAACTTCTGCTTCCCCTTCGGCTTCTTTCCCTACCCATCCCATTGGACTCACGTCCTCCCTTTATGTTTGGCTGCATTTGTTGGCTTTACCCCTACACTGCCCCTACTCAACGAGCAGCTTGCATGTATTCTCTCCTTGTGTGGCAAAGGCTGTTCTTGAAAACAGGAATCATTTCTATTGATGTCCACATCCACAGAGCTTAACACCACACTGGGCACAGAGGACCCTTGCTAAGCAGTTAGGGCAATTATGTTGCTCCCCATATTCCATACATCTTTCACATTCCCCTGACATGTAGTATGAACAGAATAAACAGAGATAATGAACTTTTCATTTGGTGTATCTTCCAAACCTTAACAATGCAAAACCATCACTGCTGCAAGGAAGCTACAGAGAAACTCACCAGAAGTCATAGAGGTCCTAGAAAATTATTCCTTCTGAGCGGAGAGAGTATTAAATGCATTCATTTGACTAACCAACTTGTACTTGAAGAAAAAAATCTCAAGGTACCACATTCCAAACAAAAGCACCTGTTTGCTATCTTAATAGCAATTTTGTCTTGTGTGGACATTAATCTGGATATAATGTGTTCCATTACCATAAAGCATGACTTTATACTATGTAAAAAATTATATAGCAACTATAATCAAGAACTCCGAAAACTCCCACTCATCCATTATCCAAAATAAACCGAGTATAAAATAATAATTAAAGGAATATTAGTAAACCTGCAGCCTGGCTTTGATGGATATTATTGGTAGACACTGGGCAAGAGCTGATTGCTCTGATCTGAATAGTAAAGTAGAAAACATCCCTTACTCTATGTACTATTTTAATACTAACAGCAATCTCTCATCTCCTATCACAACTGCTACCACTGCATTTCCCTACCCTCAGATGTCAGGAAATTTGGTTATTGTTTCCACAGCAACTACAGCCTGACCACGCATTACAACATCGAAAGGCCACTGTAATATTTCAAAGACAAAGTACACACACACATACACACACACACCCTTGCACTTGCATCATGATTATAAATTTACTTTCATCAACCATGAAAGGTTCAAAAAAATTCCCAAAGTAGGTGAACTTTAGACACGTCTTGGGCAGGTTTCAGTGACTTATGCTAGTGGCTGAAAGGGAGAGGAAGCCCATTCATTATCAGAAGACAAATGGCATCATCGTAGGCAAATGGAGGAGGAGAACCACGAAAACACACAGCGGAATGAGCGATTGTTCTGCAGCCGTAACATTGTTAATTCCGTTGCACTGAAAAATCCTCCTGCCTCGGAAGCCTTCCATGAAGAACTGGAGGCTTGGGATTTACTTCACTGAAAATAAATGAAACCTTTTTCCCCAAAGTTTTTGCTTTGTATTTTAGTTTACATTCTTATATTAAAATTGATGAGATGTCTTTAGTTTAAGATACACATCAACTAAGGAAAGATCTCCAGAGAAAAACAACAACGTTGGTAGTAAAAGTTAACCTTTTTACTTTTTAAGGATAAAACACTTACTCTGTCATTACTGGGCTGTCAAAGAGAAGAACCATGTCTGTCTTGCTCATCTTTATCCTAGCAGGACAATAAATACTAGCTATGTGGATTCCAGAGACAAGGAGTCAATGAGAATACCAACTGCTTTATACCGTGACATCTCCAACAGTTCTCACGAGTTAGCAGACAGTGTCGGAGAACTTTCACAGTGGCAAGGGGAAAAAATGCAATCAGAGTAGCTTAAGCAAAAAAGGGACTTTCTACAGGCTCATATTTTAAGAAATCTAGATATAGAAAATCCTCAGGTGCTGTTGGATCCAGGATGAAATCTCGAATTTGCCTTTTCCCTGTTGTTCTAGTTTCCTTGGTAGTGGCCTCGTCCCCACAGCAGAAAGCTGGTAAGAAGCCTGGGAACCAGACCTTTCGGGGGGGGGGGGGGCTGTGAGCACAGGAGGAGGCTCTGCCCAGAGGGACTGGCAAGGAATCTCCCTCAGCAGCAAGTCACCGCTGGCCTCCCAACCTCCATCTCTCATCTCAACCTTCTGCTGCCTAAACCTAGCAGGAAGCCGAGTGGCAAGGGAGCCTGGGAAAGGTGGTTTTCAGGAGCTAGGCCCTTTCACAGCCAAGCAGAGGAAAGCTGAAGAACGAATCAGACAGCAAAGAGAAGCAGGCAGACAACGAGCACGCTGCATGAGGCCGGACACCACAACTTTCTTTTCACTGTTTGTGTTCACAACACCTAACTTAGCACGTGGTAATAACGGTCAGAGCCAACATTACAAAGTCCTTACTATGAGTTATGTATGCACTGTATATGTATAAACTCATTTAAATCTCAAGTTGGATTATTTTGTCAGCACCCCTGCACACGTGAAGAAATCGCCACACAGAGAATTTTGGTGAGTTACCTTAGATCATGCAGCTAGTAAGTGGTAGGGCTGGGCTTCAATCCAAGGCTGCTTAAATCCAAGGTCTAAGTTCTTGACACATTACAGTCTACTCTCTCTACACTGAGCACATAAATATGTGTGGAAGAAAGTGTTCCATAAATGCTCATTAAGAGTTCTTGAAGAGGTTGGTGAAATGGAAAAAGGCAATAGAGAACAAACTCAAGGTCAAAACATGTAACATCCCATGGCAGGCCCTGAACTTTGTCCCTGTAAATATGACTTCCAGTCTTACCAGTGGTAACATCTTGTCTATGAAGCATTTTGAGATTTTTCTAAATAATTGTGACTCTGGTGGTTTTAAGGATATCACTACAAACACATAATGAGTCAGCAGGTTGTATATTTTCCGTGTTGAGATGAGTTAAGTCAGCTTTGATTTCTGCAGGGACATCATGGGGCGACTTTTAGGTCCTCAGTCCTTGCGATCACATTTCTCACCTTACCAAACAAGAGCTACCAAAAACTCTTCCCATATGGCTCTGCCCATATTCTGTCCCATATCCCCATCACTTACACGCAAGACATTGTCTAAATTAAATGCCTTAGGAAATGGGTATATGAATCACCTTTGCACTAGTGAATTCATCCCAGACTTATGTATTGAGGACCTATTTTATAACAACACTACGGTGCCAGGAGTTTGGGTACACAACCCCACTGGAAGTACTGAGCATCTAGGCTAACATTTGTTGACTGAATGTACAAAACTGAATTTAGGCTGTGAATAGCAGAAAGGCTTGGTTCTAATCTAGAATATAAAAGTGGATTTTCAAAACAATTATACTTTCAGATATTGGCTTTATTTATTTATTGAGTGAACATTTGGGGAAACTTAATATATGCCAAAAGCTGTGCAAGGCCTTGGTGCTGTAATGTCACTATTCTGAAGTTTAAGATGGAGAGAGGAACAGAAAAACAGGCAATTAGAGTGCACAAAGAAGGGTCATCTTTCACTAACTTAGAGATGTTAGATGGGGCTCTTTAGAAGAAGAAATGTGTCACCTGAGAGCTGAAAGATAAAGAGCAGCTGAGTAGGAGAAAATAAAATTAATTCAGTATGACTGGGGCTAATTAATGAGGTGGGGCATAGCTAAGAAGGCTGTAAAGGTAAAAAATAGCCAGGTCACCAAGGATCTTAACCGCCATGGTAAGAATGATTGGTTGTGGAATTTTCACAGGCTCAAGAGATATTACAACTTCAGCTTCATTATTGTTCTGGCAGAATGAAGTGAGAATCAGCAGATGTGGATTTGGCTTTTGATTTAGCCACTTGGTGTCAGAGCTCAAAGCAAGTCACATAAC